CTGCATTTCGCGCACTCGACACGCACGATCTCCGCAGAGGGTTGCACTTTCGGTTGACGCTGTTCGTCCCACCCTCTGCCTTTAAGAGAGAATTTATAAAGTGGGTAAATGTTTTTTCATTAGGACATCTCCCGCGCTAGTTTTCCATACTCACACTTGCCTACTCACTGCACGCTTGCATACTCATTGCCTACTCACTACTCACTGCACGCTTGCATACTCATTGCACGCTTGCAACTCATTACTTGCATGCTTACACTTGCATTGCATGCTTTGCACTTCACTGCTTTCGCTCTTCCACTTACACAGGGCTACGTCTAGCGTTCATGTTGTCCTGCAAGTGTGGTGAAAGTGTCAATGTCTAAGTGTAAGTGTCGAAGTGTTCAAAGGATTTTCCGGAAGAACCCTTCGCAATGCTTTCGGGAAAAAGAAACTGGAAATACAAGAAAACCCAAGGCCCGTTTGGTCATTTTGGGATTTATGGACCCCTCAATTGAAACCTTGGACCGTGACGCCACTGGGCAGAGACAGCCGGTCTCTTATACTCCAAGTTCTCGCTAGTGCTCGCTCGGGAGTTCAATCGTTCGACATCAAAACTGCATTCCTTCGCGGAAGCCGTCGGGACAATCGAGGGTTAGGAATAGAGCCACTGGAAGAGATGCGTGCCCTAGGCACCTCTCATGTCTCCCCTAGACCCCTGTGTCTTTGTACTACCAAAAAAGGAATACCAGAGTGGAAAATGCGGTTCCCTGGCTATTCATGGACTTTTGGGAATTCATGTGGATGATGGGCTGGCGGTGGGGATCAAATCTTTGAAGACAAAATACGACAGTTGGAATCGCGATATCCTTTTGGGAGCAAGCGCAAACAAGACATGGTGTTCACAGGATTGCGCATTCACCAAGACCTCTCCGGGTCAGTACAGGTTGACCAAAAGGATTATGCGCGTGACATCCCAGGCATTCATGTGTCCAGAGAGCGGCGTCAAGAGCCTAAGTCTCCAGTCACCCCACAAGAACTCCAACTTTTTCGTGGGCTAATAGGTAGTCTCCAGTATGCAGCCACCAATACCCGACCCGACATTTCTTGCCGATTGAGCCTTTTACAAGCCAAAATTCCCTCAGCCACAGTTCAAGACCTTCTTCAGGGAAATCGCTTGTTAACGGAAATTCAGAACTTTGCGGAAGTTCATGTAAAATACCAACCAATACCAATAGAGCAAATCCATTTTCTATCTTTTTCAGACGCAGCCTTTGCATCTCGTGAGAAGGCTCATTCTCAAAAGGGGTGCGTCATCTTTGCCACAGATAACACCATTGATCTAGATCAGGCTGCGCCCATCAGCCCCATTACATGGTTTTCAAAGAAAATCAACCATGTTGCGGGCAGCGCCTTGGCTTCAGAGACCTTTGCCTTGTCAGGTGCCTTAGATATACTCAGTTGGATCCGCTTGCATTGGTCCTGGCTGGTCAAACCTGACACTCCATGGAAAGATCCCGAAACAACATTGGCTGCATTGCCGAAAGCGTATTATGCAGTCGTTGATTGCAAGAGTCTGTACGACCTTCTGCAGAAGACATCGATTCCGCAGTGTTCTGAACACAGAACGATGCTTGAAGCGTTGATCATTAAGGACCGACTTAAGGAGGGAGTATTAGTCAAATGAGTTCATTCGGCCGCTCAAGCCGCTGACGGACTGACCAAAGACATGGATGTCACCCCTCTTCGACTGTTCTTAAAAAACGGACATGCAGAGTCCGGGACGTTGATGTCATTTTGCAGCAGAGGGCCGACAAAAGGCTCAGAAACAAATGGCTGGCACAAGAGACAAACAAAGATATAGAAAAGAATTCAGAGATTTTGTAGGAGTGTGATTTGCATGCTGTTCTGTCCACACCACCATCGAGTCATCGGATGTTTCGTGAAAGCCATTCATGATCGCTTGTGGCCTACCTCTCAAGTCAGGGGGCTTGGGCGCGGAACCCATGTTGTTGGCCTGAGGACAGGCCTTGGAAGTGGCTTGGCTGTGGACAGCCTTCGTGGAACTCGGCCGTGGACGGCCTTCGTGGAGCTTGGAAGGAAAAGGCGCGAGGTCGCGCAGTCTTTGCAGGGAGGGCGAGGAAGCTACCAGTGTAGATACCAATCTACAATATATATATATATATATTTCTTTTTTTGAGGGGGGGGTGTGTAAATATAAACACACATATCATATGTTTTTGCTGGACTGAAGATAGTCCTTGACCGGAATACATGCACACTGGCTTGACAGTGGGGACCGGCTCAACCAATCTTTGCCTGCTGTACAACTCGCAGGTGAGTGCCAATCCCTGGTCAACAAAAGTGGGAACACCAGAGCAACAAGTGTTATGTACCGTAGACCTTAGTAAAGGACTTGACATTGGGTTTGAACAATTTGCATCGTGTTTGGAAACCAGCGATACACTCACCAAAATGATAACACAGTGACACAGTGTTCATAGAAATAAGGAGTGTCGCTCACATGACATGTGTATTAGAGATTTGCAGAGATTTTGGCAAGGTTGGTCAGTTGGTTGGGGCCATTGGCTTTCAGTGGCATCCTGGAGCGCATCACTTCGCTCTGTATTCGCGATGTCTTATTGGATGATATATCTATATATTACATTATATATAACTTAATTTTATATCAGATATCATATTCACAACTTGTTTTGCCCAACAGCCCGATCGACTCCATACTCCGGGACTCCGGTGCCAAGGAGAACATGTTTCTCGTTTGTATTGGTCACAGAGCTCCGTTGGAACGAGTGGCCAGAGCTGCACAAGTCCATCCCTCACCACAAATCCAGCCACTGCTGATAACTGCAGCACTGGTTTCTGATTTGTTTGTGTGTCTAGCTATGTAGCTCGCTGAAGACGGCACTGCCCCTGCAAACATTTTTTGGAAAGCATAAAATGCATGATCCCAGCCTGGCTTGGAATCTCATGATGCTGGAGGATTCAGAGGGTTTGTGTTCGGACTCTAATGTCCAACAGGAGTGTAGACGCTGGTAGTATGCTGCCCAAGTGCAAGCATTGGTGTTTCTAGCGTCTTCTAGCCTTTACTCAGGCCCAACATAAGAAGGCACACACACACACACATAAGTAGACGCAAACAAAAGTCACCAGACTGCAAACATGTCAGATCATCTCACAGCCACAAAGTACATGTATATGAGCTGATATACACCACATGTGTTTGCAATGTCTCAATTGTGCATTAGTATGCCATTTGGTTCTTCCGTTGTTACAAAGCGGCTCGCTGACATGTCCAGCTGTCTTCAATCCATCACATGTTGCCTCTTCTGAAGAGTCTCAACCTAACACCAAACGCAATAGAGGCAAGGTGAAAGAATCTTGGCTTTGCATACCAACCTCTGCAGGTCAGAGCGACTTGTTGAGTCCTCAGTGCCTTTCATGCAAAGTCGAAGTTCGTGCAAACAACATTGCATTGATCTGTCAAATGTCTTGTGCCCAAGAGACCCATGCTTGTTGATGTTTGGTGCTGTGAATTCCGATGCCATCGCAAGGGTGATGCCACCAAGGCAGCAGCGTGATTTCTGGCGAATGTCGCATCAAAGTAATATATACTTTGTACTGAATAAACATGCCTACTATGACTTGACTAGACTGAGCAAGTTGGCACTGTGCAAGTTTCCTTTGGCATGATTTGTTAATGATTTTTTGCTGGAATCCAGGCAACCGATCAGATGACCAGTGTGTAATTAGTCTGACTGTAAAAAAGATGGAGCATATCACTAGGTTTGAGCCGGTTTGAGCTGTACTCAAAATTCGATCGAATAAGTCAAGTGAAAATCATTTCAGAACGCGTATATACATGTCTTTTAAATGAGGTCAATTCTGTGGAGACAGCGGAGAAAGCCAGCTTTCAGGACAGATGCCCCGGCAAAACTTAAGTCACGCTCAAAGCAAACAGACAAAAAGACATTTGTATACATTTATCAACTACTTCTGACATCCCTACCCTAAATGTCACAGGCATAGGTTTGTGATGAATTGTGCACAAGCTCACGTTTGTGTTGGGTGGCTTTTCATGCAATGTGACAAGGCACTTTGCTCGCCGGATTGTCCTAGTACCTGATTAGTACCTCGGAGTTTGGTTTTGACCCACTGACACTCCGTTGCATGATGCCACTAAAGCGCTGGTACACAACGAACGTGCTCGGAGGGACCTGATTCCCAGCATATACACAGTTATGGATATATCCAGATAGGGGCTGTACTAGGTGGATAAAATCCATGGGGTTATAAAAAACTTTCATTGGAAAGAGCCTGTTTTCTAAATTAAGAAACAAGTCAAAAACAGGTCAAAAAAAGCCAATCCCAAAAGTCAAAATAAAAAAAAATCAAATCATAAAGTTTCAGAAAGTAAAAAAAAACGTCAATTTGCCCAGATCCAACTTGTTTTGCAATTTTTTTTCGACTTGTTTTGTTGTCATGTTTTCGCTTTTTTGACTTTTTTTCCCGACTTTTTTTGTTGTTATTTGTTTCTCTTTTTTTGACTTTTTCGAGCTGTGGTCTATGGTTGACTTCTTTTTTGCATGTGTTTTTTTTTGACTTTTTTGACTCTTCAATTTGATATTTTTTTGACTTTGACTTTTCCAGTTGATTTTTTTGACTTTTTTTTTCCGACTGTTCTTTAAATCAAGGATTCTGGCCTTACCATATGAAAGTTTTTTATAACCATGGGGTTTGACGCAAGACGCAAGACTTTATCCGGGTGCTGGCCTCTGAGCTACGTACCTGACAAGGGGGTTTGTCCCTAAAATAACCCACCAAGTAGGAAGTGGCTAATTGTTTTTTGGGGACATGATTTGAGGGTCAGTGCATGGACATTATCCAGTAGGCATGTTTTGAATTTCATTGGATTTTATCCAGCCATGGTCCTCTTCCTGGTTAATATAAAAAACAAAAGGATGGATGGAATAGAAAGGAAGAAAGGGTCGGGTCGGGACCCGTCACTATCCAATAACAGAAGGTGGATGTTGTGTATAGAAATCTTGGCTAGATTTGGCTACGGTTTCACTTTGCGGTCGGTGGCTTCATTGATTTTGTCACGGATATCAAGAAGATGAAAAGAGAAAAGAACAGCAAAGAGAGAGAGAGAGGGAGCGCAGAGATTTCTAACCGGCTTTTTGCAAGGTTTTTCCGAGCTCCTGAGCTCCATTGATGTACAGATGCATATAGACAGATAAGAAAGTAACAGCAATACCAAGATCGAGGAGAAAAAGTCATGTTTCATACATTTTTCTATTGCAGGCAGGATACCCAAAAATATGGAGCATCAAGACAGGTGAGGGACCTTGATGTTGTACAGGTGCCTACGTGCGCACACAGTCCATGGTACTGCGATGTGTTCAAGCTTGTTGGCCATCTTGTCTGGCCAAGCTTCTTGGAATCCTTGTAGCTACAAGCAATACGTATCAAACATGTGCATTATGTTTTGTTTAAAAGCTATATTTTCCCTGGTGTTGAAGTTGGAGATATAGAATGACAACTTCTGACGTTTGCTATAAAACTAATCTACTTCTGCTAGGTGATGGGAGCTTTCCAAAATAAAACATGTTCAGTGGCAGTGAACCTTGAAAAAGAAGGTGCATTGACATCTGGGAGTCGTTCTAAAACCCACATAACAGAATTTAGTAGCACGATGCTTTTCATTGATAGTAGGTAGTCTAAAACCTGCGTCGCGCAAGGTTCGCGCAATGCCGGCGCAAGGTTTTACGCAAGGGCTACTTACTAGTTACTAGTTACACAAATTTATACGAAAACTGTTTTTACTAGCTAGCTTGTGCTTTGTGGTAAGACTTTAAGTATGCTTCAGAATGCTTCTTGTCTCCACAATACACGCCTTAAGGTAACTCCTTCGGAATGTGGCCAATACAGAATCAAGAATCCGCGCAAGGTTGGCGCAAGCTCGGTGCAAGCTCCGCGCAAGCCCGAATGCGCGTAGAACGGGACCATGTCGACTTCTCTGAGCCAGCTGTTTCGGCCGTGCTGTCTTTAAACTCTCCGCTTGTGATAGAGGTTCGCACATACACATCCACACCCACGAAACTCACCGACTGTAGTTTTACTGTGTTCGCGCAAGATCCGCGCAAGATTCGCCCAAGGCCGGCGCAAGGATAGTTTTTGGGAAAATGTATTTCAACCCCCATTTGGACAGAGCCATCCTTCAATACAGACTATAAACTCTGCAAGTCTGCTGAAGCTGAAAGCTCCATTCACCAAAGAAGCTGTTTCACGTTCGCCCTGGGCGTCGTACCCCTGGTAGACTCCTGCTGGAAGTCCCAGGTCCAAACAAGCTCATAATACCTGCCAAAATGATCCAAAATGTATATAGCCCGAAAAGTACTATATATAGTTTGACCGGAAACCACCGGACACCAGCGAATGAAAAGATCTGAAATTTGCCGCTGACTTTTCGGACCGGTCCGCCGACACACTTCGGGCCTGGGATCAGAACCTATTGTTGACCACTGGGACGTCAGGCCTTTCAACATTTTCCGTTTTCATTGTTGCATAGGTTTGAATTCGATCCTCAGTCCCTCAAATTTATCCACATGATCTGACTGACAACGGGTCAGTCCCCCAAAAAAAGAAACCGTGTACAGACCCTAGGTCCCAGTACAACCGGGTATTATCCAGGAATACTGAATGATGCGTACTTCTTGCGATTCTGTTGACACTGGCAAGCTCCCACCAACAGCAACAACAACATGTCGTTGCACAGGTTTAGTTCAAGCAAGCTCGATGGTCTTATTGTTGCCGTTGGAATTTTTAGTACTACATAAGAACTCATTCCTCCGTTTTCTGTGCAGTATGTTTTCACTGAATTGCTTGAGCTTCTTCACAGGACACAACCCATGCACTTGTTGCAGAAGGGTCACGGCTTCCACGGCCTATGGTCACGATGCCGAATCAGCTGTTGTGTTGTTTGTGTTCCTCAGACTGGGGTCAGAACTTGACGAAGGGATTTTTGATTGATTTGATTTGTTACAGTGAACAAAGCATAGTTGTCCATGCAGTTGTTATGTATATAGGGTTCATGATGTTTTGATACTTTATATACTTTATAAATCGTTTTAAACATCTTATAGCGGCAAACAAGACACTAGACCCACCAGGCAGTTTTGGCTTGTCAAAGAATAGTTGCGCCTGGTGTTTTTCTTCTCGATCAACATCAGACGGGGTGCGCTTGATTGATCAAACGCAATTTGCCAGTAGCCGTACAAGGTCCAGGTGGCCATTCGATGCCCAAAGGAGATCTGCTCGTTCACCGAAACATGATTTCAAGGGATCAGGAGGATAGACTTGTCCGACCACCAACAGCCAACAGTGATTGCCTGCTGAAAAGACTTGTTCATCGGGTCAATGCAACTGATTCTGCCTTTCCATTGTTCTTTGCAAAAAAGAACATCAATTCAGGCTAGGCCTAGGGTCTAGGGCCTAGGGCGACAGCAGAGCTGTCAGGATGGACGAACACCAGAAGCGAAGCGACTTGAGGAGGGGGCAGCTGTCAGAAGCGAAGCAGCAAAGCCCAATACTTTTTTGTAATTGCCAGCTGCCAGAGCGGTGCTGCAGATTTCCTGGTGATTTGAAACATTTCTTAAGCTTCTTTGCGCTGCCCCAAGGACTGAATGACTTATGCACACCTTGCCTGCAAACGTATGCTCATTATTTGTGTAGTCTTTTGACCACGAGCAACTCCAGTTTACTCGATTCACATATCTCCCCAGGAGCGTGAAAGAAGCTACCAGCGGCCCGAGCCACCTCCAAAACCGAGGCATTCCAAGTCATTCCAGATCCTTTTTTGGTGTTCACTGTTCACCACAGATCGACGCCATTTAGATTGCTCAGCTTCTGAAGATGAACTATCACATTATCTCGAAAATAAACCCAACTTTGCCACTGGGAAAGAGGACATGAAAAACAGGATGGAAAGGAACTGGAGCAAACTAGGGTGCTCAAAAGGGTCAGAACCTGCCAGGGACCGGCCAAAGCCCTTGGCAGCTACACCATCGAACAGCAGTTTGACTGCCTCCCAGCAGAGTCCAAGGTCAGAAGAGCTTTGCAAACATCTTCATTAATTGCGGCTCTACACAGCCTTGCTGTTCTTAGAACCTTAACATGAACTGGATGTTCTCTACCTTTCAGGTTGCCCATGTCGAAACCAGAGTGCACAAAGTTTTGACCAGTCGTTGGCTTTTGTTGAGCAGGCGGATGACCGGCAGGGCTAGAGCAACCAGTCCTCGATCCAGGCCTGGCAATACATGTCATGCTTTATATGGATTCTGATGCGATTGAAGTGACCCTAGCAACTACTGTTCATAGACGTCAGATTATTTTAAATCATTTGCAAAAAATCAGAACAGGGGACCACCAGAGTGCGTATTTTATGTGTTTTTGTTGCCTACTTCCATCTATGTGCTATAAACTTCCCACTGTGGCCTGCATTCATGCTATGTGTTTGTGAAAGCTGCCTCAATGTCCTTTGCACTGGAAAACAATCACCAAAAAATAAAACAAAAATATTATTCTGGCGAACTTCTAATTTTAATTCCAATTCCTTTCTAATTTTAATTCCAATTCCTTTCTAATTCAACTCTCATCTAATTTTAAATAGGTTATAGTTATAGTTCAATACAAGTTTAGTTGAAATTCGGTTTTAATTCAGTTCTATCTTAGCTCTAACTCAAATCCAATTTAATTCTATTCTAGCTCTAGTCTATTTATATAGTTTAAGAAAACACATGCTACAAAACCCTGTGTTTTACAATATAGTTTTGCCTTGGGAGTGCTGGGAACACGACTAAAACTCTTTTTTGAAGTAAATAGTTAGATTTTGTTTATTTACAGTAATCACTGGAAATAATATAGATATATTAAAATTGTTTTATGTACAAGCTTCTAATTCAAGAGCTTCCCTCTAGATCTCTGGCGATAATCATTTCTACAATAAAAAAATATAAAATCTTTCATTTCAAAAGCTTCCTCTGGATCTCTGGAAATGGTCATGTCAATTTAAACATGCTATATATATATATCAATAAATATGTTTTTCTTTCAAGAGCTTCCATT